CTTTCAATTGAATAACAAAAAAAAATGTAAAATTAACCCCTTAGAAAAAAATAACAAGTGAAACCTTTCATTAAGACTACTATTAGACGAACATAATAGTTAGAAAATCTTTTTTTTTTTTTTTTCCAATAATTATGCATACTTTTGAATTGAAATCTCATATTTTAAACAACAAAATATATAAAATTATGACATTTAACAAAATAATTATGTAATTTTGTTAAAAAAAATGATAAGTCGACCCACCTAACCCGACTCGCACCAAATTTTTGTAACTTTTTTGCTTAAAAAAAATTCTAAGTTTGTGTATTCAATTCAAATACATTGGTCCTAAATGAAAAACTAATTATATAAAAATGTGTTGTGGGCACTTGGGAGTTGGGGACAACTAGAGTAGCACCGAGTACAAGCTAAACAGTACTCGCAACATAGCCAAAGAGCCCTAGATTGAACCAAAATCAAATTCGAGGTTTAACGATATCTGCCATAGCGGAGAGCAGCCACCTATGGAGGAGGCGGCGGCGGCGGCCGATGACGGAGGATCCGGACCTCTCAGAGCTCGTCATATTAAGAAGAGGGCCCTCAAGAACAAATCTCTTTCTGTTTCTTTCAATGAAAAAGACCTCAAGTGCGTTTTTATTTTTCTTCGTTATTTTCTTCCACTAACATATGGGATTCTCGAATTCTTGAAATTGGAGGTGCAGTTTGATATTTAGATTCTTAATTCATTTATACGGTGTTTGTGTGTGTAGGGATTATGTGACTGGTTTTCACAAGAGGAAGAAGAAGAGAAGACGAGAGGCCCTGCAAAAGCAAGAAGAAGCTGAACGTCGAAAGCGCATCGAGCAGCGCAAAAAGGTTGATCCTTTTCCCCCCTTTTTTCTAGAGGAATAATGTTTTAGAGTACTAAAATGATGTTCCTATCTATGGATGATGTTGTGTCTCTGTTGGGAAATCTTGAGAGTGTTCATATATAGCCAATTTCATTGGATGAAATGTCGACGATCGTGTTTTTTTTCCCGGTAGTGATGAATATTAGGCAATTCTTGAACTTGTGTGTTGCCAAGACTAAAATGAAAAGGCTAGAATTTGGTTTTAGGTGAAGTTAGTCGAAAGTAATTTATTTTGGTAGCCTTGATTTTTTGCGCAAATTTTAAGGTGAACCTTGACACTTGCAAAACAATCAATAGTTTCAAACTTTAAATGTCAAGTGCACACATAGGTGAAGATCCACACCTTAATGAACTTCCGTCTGGCCAATCCTACATTTGATTTAGGAGTTGTATAATTTTTTTTAAGAAAACTTGCAATCCTGCATTTGATTTATGGAGTGGTACAGTAAACATTTCTAAAAAAAAAAACATGTTTGATCGAGGGACTTGTAAAGTAAACATTTCCCAACGAAACTTGTTGCTGATTTGCTGTAAATTCATTGCTGCATTTTATGATGATCATACACACTAAATTCTTCCAAATGCATGAACCGTTCGGAGTTGTGTTTGTATGACAATGTGGTGTGTTCTGGTGAGTCAACTGCAATGTAGGTGACTAGTGGCTTCAATCTTATGCCTTTTGCAGTTGCATTTCTTGTTCTTTATTTTAATATTAATCTTATTCTCATTCCAGAGGAAATTGGAACGAGATTTTGTCATGTTTGGTGGAGCTCCTTTTGGTTCAGACGCAGAAGATGCTGCTGAGCCCGACGAGGAAGATGAACATGATGAGGATACTGAACCAGCCGACCCTGTTTCAGGTATCATGTCCCGTATCAACATATTCTTAGGCAATGTAAACACAATATGGTCTTGAGTTTTTAATATTAAGTAATTTATTGTAGTGATTGGATAAACTTAAAAAGCAAAATTATGTGCAAGGGATTTTTTTGACCATATTAAGGTTGTGTTTGTGTTTGTTAAGCATATAAGCTAGCTTATAGCTTATTAGATTACCTTATATGCTTCTTGTATTCAAATAAACTTAGTTTGGTTGGAGGAACTTTTTTAAAAAGTTTGAGCTTATCTCATAAGGAGATAAGCTTCTGTGGGTAGTTTTTCAAAATAAGTCAATTGAAATTTTATTTCAGCTAGTTTATCAACTAATTTTACCAAACACTTTTATAATATAAGCTAGTTTTACAGCCACAAGTCATAAGCTACCAGTTATAAGCTCGAAATTCACTTAACAGCTATAAGCTAGCTTATCAGTTAGATTTACCGTCTAAGTGGTACAATGTCGGGTGGGCTTAAAAATGCCACAAGACTTGAATTTTTCCTTTTTTTTTTT